CCACACCCAGCTAATTTTGGTATTTTTTGTAGAGAGAGGGTTTTGCTATGTTGGCCAGCATGGTCTCTAACTCCTGAGCCAAGTGATCTCCCCGCCTTGGCCTCCCAAAGTGCTGGGATTACAGGCATCAGCCACCGCACTAGGCCTGCTCTACTGGTTTTTTTTTTTTTTTTTTGAGACAGAGTCTTGCTCTGTCCCCCAGGCTGGAGAGCAGTGGCCCGATCTGGGCTCACTGCAAGCTCCGCCTCCCGAGTTCACGCCATTCTCCTGCCTCAGCCTCCCAAGTAGCTGGGGACTACAGGCGCCCACCACCTCGCCCGGCTAGTTTTTTGTATTCTTTTTAGTAGACGGGGTTTCACTCTGTTAGCCAGGATGGTCTCGATCTCCTGACCTCGTGATCCGCCCGTCTCGGCCTCCCAAAGTGCTGGGATTACAGGCTTGAGCCACCGTGCCCGGCCGCTCTACTGGTTCTTAACCCCACGAGGGTTAACTCACCATTAGCGACTGGCTCATGACAGCAGTGATTCTCAGAAACATCAGGAAGCCTATATTCTTGGTGGTGTTCTTTATGTCCTGAGTGTCTCCTTGCAAGAGAGAGAATGGTATGTCTCAGTGATGTAAAGAACCTAGTCCTGCACCTTAGCCATCCTCTCTAGTCCTGGTTCATGCTGTCCCCTTCTTGGATCCCACCCTGGTCCTTCACAGTGATCTTGAGCTGAATTTCCCAATTTGGGAAATTTACCTTGGGAGTCTCAGAGTACATTTTGGTATGACATCTCTATGAGATATTAATAGATGTTACTTAGAAAAAAAGTTCCAGGCCAGGCACTGTGGCTCTCACCTGTAAACCCAGCCGTTTGGAAGGCTGAGGCAGGAGTATTGCTTGAGCCCAGAAGTTGAAGACCAGCCTGGGCAACATAGGTAGATCACATATCCACAAAAAAAATTTTTTAAGTTAGCTGACAGCTGGGCATGGTGGCTCATGCCTTTAATGCCAGCACTTTGGGAGGCTGAGGAGGGCTGATCAGGAGGTCAATAGATCGAGACCATCCTGGCCAACACTGTGAAACCCTGTCTCTACTAAAAACACAAAAACTAGCTGAGTGTGGTGGTGCACACCTGTAGTCCCAGCTACTCAGGAGGCTAAGGCAGGAGAATTGCTTGAACCTGGGAGGCAGAGGTGGCAGCGAGCCAAAATCACACCACTGCACTCCAGCCTGGTGACAGAGCAAGACTCCATCTCAAAAAAAAAAAAAAAAGTTAGCCAGCTGTGATGGCTTGTAGCTGTAGTCCCAGCTACTCAGGAGGCTGAAGTGGGAGGCTCGCTTGAGTCCAGGAGGTCAAGGCTGCAGTGAGCCATGATTAAGCCACTGCACTCCAGCCTGGGTGACAGAGTGAGACCTGTCTCAATTGAAAAAAGAAAAGAAAAAAAGAAAGAAAAAAGTTCCATGCTTGTTGAAATCTTGAAAGACCTATTTAAACACTTAGCTCTGAAAAAACTTGGGCATTTATCAGTATAAATTCCTAGTTCAGCACATTCACTGTGTCTTTTAAAGATTGTAAGGCCTTTGTAAACAAGAAAATGGCTCTGGTGAGATGGGTTTATATAGGGATTTGTAACAGGACGCACTGTATTTTTTTAATCAGTGGTTCTCAAATTTCATCAGGCATAGCTGCCTGGGGAATTTTCTAAAAGGCAGATTCCATACCCTATCTCAATCTTAGCAATCATGAATCTCTGACCTGGGGTCCTAGGAATTCAAAATTTAAACAAATTCCTAAGTAATTCTGATGCAAGTAGTCCCTCTGTTCTCTGAAAATGTTAACTATCTGCCTCACCCCTGCTTGTGACAGCAATCAATGTTGCCATGGTAGCAGCCAATCTGAGACACCCCCTGCTGCCTGCTGCCCAGGCAACATTGAGTTCATGGGTCTCTTTCTTGTTTGCTAGCCCAAAGGGCCACCTTGAAAAATAATCTTCTGAGTACTATAAAAACTATACAATTGACCCAAAGAAACTGACTCACTGTTGCAGGATCAGGGATTATAAATCCCTATGTCACCTCATTTTCAGAGTATTAGTCTCTTCAGCACCTTTTGTGGCTCCAATTCAGATGTCTGATGCTAGGCGTCAATGTCTGTATTTCATTGGCATGAATAGGGTGCAGTCCCTGAAACTCGGACAGTTTTCCAAGCCTACCATGATCTAGGTGTCAGGCCTCTGAGCCCAAGCTAAGCCATCATATCCCCTGTGACCTGCACGCATACATCCAGATGGCCTGAAGCAAGTGAAGAATCACAAAACAAGTGAAAATGGACAATTCCTGCCTTAACTGATGACATTCTACCATTGTGATTTGTTCCTGCCCCACCTTAACTGAGTGATTAACCTTGTGAATTTCCTTCTCCTGGCTCAGAAGCTCCCCCACTGAGTACTTTGTGACCCCTGTCCCTGACTGCAAGAGAAAAACCCCCTTTGACTGTAATTTTCCACTACCCACCTAAATCTTATAAAATTGCCCCACCCCATCTTCCTTGCTGACTCCTTTTTCGGACTCAGCCCGCCTGTACCTAGGTGAAATAAACAGCTTTATTGCTCATACAAAGCCTGTTTGGTGGTCTCTTCAAATGCATGTGCGTGACATTTGGTGCTGTGACTCGGATCAGGGGACCTCTGTTGGGAGATAAATCCCCTGTCCTGCTCTTTGCTCTGTGAGAAAGATCCATCTATGACCTCGGATCCTCAGACCAACCAGCCCAAGGAACATCTCACCAATTTTAAATCAGGTAAGCTGCCTCTTTTTACTCTCTTCTCCAACCTCTCTCACTATCCCTCAGCCTCTTTCTCCTTTCAATTTTGGTGCCACCCTTCAATCTCTCCCTTCTCTTAATTTCAGTTCCTTTCCTTTTCCAGTAGAGACAGAGGAGATGTGTTTTATCCATGAACCCAAAACTCTGGTGCTGGTCATGGACTTGGGAAGACAGTCTTCCTTCAGTGTTTAATCACTGTGGGGACAATTACCCATGTTTCAGAGGTGTCTGATTACCGCGGGGATGCCTGGCCTTGATCCTTCACCTTGGTGGCAAGTACCACTTTCCCTGGGTGGCAAGCACCACCTCCCTGGGGGGCACATACCCCCACACCCCTTCTCTCTGTGTGTCTACCCTCTCTTTTCTCTGGGCTTGCCTCCTTCACTATGGACAACCTTCCACCCTCCATTCCTCCCTCTTCTCCCTTAGCCTGTGTTCTCAAGAACTTAAAACCTCTTCAACTCACACCTGACCTAAAACCTAAACACCTTATTTTCTTCTGCAACACCGCTTGGCCCCAATACAAACTTGATAATGGCTCTAAATGGCCAGAAAATGGCACTTTCGATTTCTCCATCCTACAAGACCTAGATAATTTTTGTCAAAAAATGGGCAAATGGTCTGAGGTACCTTACATCCAGGCATTTTTCACACTTTTCCCTCCCTAGTCTGTTCCCAATGCGATTCGTCCCAAATCCTCCTTCTTTCCCTCCCGTCTGTCCCCTCAGTCCCAACCCCAAGCGTCACTGAGTCTTTCCAATCTTCCTTTTCTACCGAGCCATCTGACTTCTCCCCTCCTCCCCAGACTGCTCCTTAGGTGGCTTCCTGCCAGGCTGAGTCAGGCTCCAATTCTTCCTCAGCCTCCACTCCTCCACCCTATAATCCTTCTATCACCTCCCCTCCTCACACCCAGTCCAGCTTACAGTTTCGTTCTATGACTAGGTCTCACCCACCTGCCCAACAATTTCCTCTTAGAGAGGTGGCTGAAACTGAAGGCATAGTCAGGGTACATGTGCCTTTTTCTCTATCAGACCTCTTTCAGAACAGTCAGCATTTAGGCTCTTTCTCATCAGACCCCACTAAATATATACAGCAGTTCCAATATCTAACTCTGTCCTACAATTTAACTTGGAGTGACTTAAATGTCATCCTAACTTCCACCCTCTCCCCAGATGAACGGGAAAGAGTTTTTTCTCTAGCCCAATCTCACACTGACAACCGCTGGCTTCACGAGCCAGACCTCCAAGAAGGCATTAGAGCAGTTCCCCGAGAGGATCCCCAACGGAACTACCAGGCAGATTCTCCATGTATAGTTAGTCAAGATTACACGATTTCCTGCCTAGTTGAAGGACTTAAAAAGGCAGCTTACAAAGCTGTTAATTATGACAAGCTTAAATAAACTACCCAAGATAAAGATGAAAACCCAGCCCAGTTCATGGCTCGTTTGGCAGCAACCCTGAGACGCTTTACAGCCCTAGACCCTGAAGGGTCAGAAGGCTGTCTCATTCTAAATAGGCTTTTTTTTTTTTTTTTTTTTTTTGAGACGGAGTCTCGCTCTGGCACCCAGGCTGGAGTGCAGTAGCCAGATCTCAGCTCACTGCAAGCTCCGACTCCCGGCTTCACGCCATTCTCCTGCCTCAGCCTCCTGAGTAGCTGGGACTACAGGCGCCCGCCACCTCGCCCGGCTAGTTTTTTTGTATTTTTTCGTAGAGACGGGGTTTCACGGGGTTAGCTAGGATGGTCTTGATCTCCTGACCTCGTGATCCGCCTGTCTCGGCCTCCCAAAGTGCTGGGATTACAGGCTTGAGCCACCGCATCTGGCCTAAATAGGCATTTTATCACCCATTTAGTTCCTGACATTAGAAAAAAGCTTCAAAAATTAGAATCCGGCCCTCAAATCCCACAACAGGAATTAATCAACCTCACCTTCAAGGTGTACAATAATAGAGAGGTGGCAGCCAGACAGCAACACATTTCTAAGTTACAATTATTTGCCTCTGCTGTGAGACAAAACCCAGCCACACCTCCAGCACACAAGAACTTCAAAATGCCTAAGCCGCAGTGGTCAAGCAGTCCTACAGGACCTCCTCCATCAGGATCTTGCTTCAAATGCCAGAAATCTGGCCACTGGGCCAAGGAATGCCTGCAGCCCGGGATTCCTCCCAAGCCGTGTCCTATCTTTGCAGGGACCCATGGGAAATCAGACTGCCCAGCTCGCCCGGCAGCCACTGTTAGAGCCCCTAAAGCTCTGGCCCAAGGCTCTCTGACTGACTGCTTCCCAGATCTCCTCAGCTTGGTGGCTGAAGACTGACACTGCCCGATTGCCTTGGAAGCCCCCTGGACCATCACGGATGCCAACCTTCGGGTAACTCTCACAGTGGAGGGTAAGTTCATCTCCTGTTTAATTGATACAGGGGCTACCCACTCAACATTACCTTCTTTTCAAGGACCTGTTTCCCTTGCGCCCATAACTGTTGTGGGTATTGACGACCAAGCTTCAAAACCCCTTAAAACTCCCCCACTCTGGTGCCAACATGGACAACATTATTTTATGCACTCTTTTTTAGTTATCCCCACCTGCCCAGTTCCCTTATTTATTTATTTATTTATTTATTTATTTATTTAGAGACAGAGTCTCATTCTGTTGCCCAGGCTGGAGTGCAGTGGCGTGATCTCCACTCACTGCAAGCTCCACCTCCTGGGTTCATGCCATTCTCCTGCCTCAGCCTCCCAAGTAGCTGGGAATACAGGCACCTGCCACCATGCCCGGCTAATTTTTTTTTTTTTTTTTTTTTTTTTTTTTTTTTTTGTATTTTTAGTAGAGACGGGGTTTCACCATGTTAGCAAGGATGGTCTGTATCTCCTGACCTAGTGATCCACCCGCCTCAGCCTCCCAAAGTGCCGGGATTACAGGCATGAGCCAATGCGCCCAGCCCCAGTTCCCTTATTAGGCCAAGACATTTTAACCAAATTATATGCTTCCCTGACTATTCTTGGACTACAGCCAAATCTCATTGCTGCCCATCTTCCCAACCCAAAGCCTCTTTCATGTCTTCCTCTCATATCCCCACACCTTAACCCACAAGTATGGGATACTTCTACCCACTCCCTGGCAACCAATCACATGGCCATTACTATCCCACTAAAATCTAATCACCCTTACCCTGCTCAACGCCAGTATCCCATCCCACAACAGACTTTAAGCGGATTGAAGCCTGTTATCACTCGCCTGCTACAGCATGGGTTTCTAAAACCTATAAACTCTCCTTACAATTCCTGCATTTTACCTGTCCAAAAAGCAGACAAGTCTTGCAAGTTAGTTCAGGATTTGCACCTTATCAACCAAATTGTCTTGCCTATCCACCTGTGGTGCCAAATCCATATACTCTCCTATCCTCAATACCTCCCTCCACAACCCCTCCACAACCCATTAGTCGGTTCTGGATCTCAAACATGCTTTCTTTACTATTTCTTTGCACCCTTCATCTCAGCCTCTCTTCGCTTTCACTTAGACTGACCCTGACACCCATCAGTCTCAGCAACTTACCTGGGCTGTACTGCTACAAGACTTCTTTGACAACCCCCATTACTTCAGTAAAGCACTTTCTCATGATTTACTTTCTTTCCATCCATCTGCTTCTCACCTTATTAAATATTTTGACAAGCTTCTACTTTATAGCCCCTCCTACAAATCTTCCCAACAGGACACCCTCCTGCTCCTCCAACATCTATTCTCAAAAGGATATCACGTATCACCCTCTAAAGCCCAAATTTCTTCCTCATCCATTACATATCGCAGCATAATTCTTTTTTTTTTTTTTTTTTTTTTTTTTGAGGCGGAGTCTCGCTCTGTCGCCCAGGCTGGAGTGCAGTGGCGCGATCTCGGCTCACTGCAAGCTCCGCCTCCCGGGTTCCCGCCATTCTCCTGCCTCAGCCTCCCGAGTAGCTGGGACTACAGGCGCCGCCACCACGCCTGGCTAATTTTTTTGTATTTTAGTGGAGATGGGGTTTCATTGTGTTAGCCAGGATGGTCTCGATCTCCTGACCTCGTGATCCGCCCGTCTCGGCCTCCCAAAGTGCTGGGATTACAGGCTTGAGCCACCGCGCCCGGCCACGCAGCATAATTCTTCATAAAAACACACATGCTCTCCCTGCTGATCATGTCCGGCTAATCTTCAAAACCCCAATCCCTTCTACCAAACAATAACACCTTCCCTTCCTAGGCATGGTTAGGTACTTCTGCCTTTGGATACCTAGTTTTACCATCCTAACTAAACCTTTATATAAACTGACAAAAGGAAACCTAGCTGACCCCATAAATCCTAAATCATTTCCCCACTCCCCTTTCCATTCCTTAAAAAACAGCCCTAAAAGCTGCTCCCACACTAGCTCTCCCTAATTCATCCCAACCCTTTTCATTACACATAGCCGAAGTACAGCGTTGTGTGGTCAGGATTCTTACACAAGATCTGGGACCACACCCTGTAGCCTTTCTGTCCAAACAACTTAACCTTACTGTTTTGTTTTAGCCTAACACTCATATCTGAGTGAGGCAGCTGCTGCTGCATTAATACTTTTAGAGGCCCTCAAAATCTCAGACTATGCTCAACTCACACTCTACAGTTTTCATAACTTCCAAAATCGATTTTCTTGCTCACATCTGATGTACATACTTTCTGCCCCCCAGCTCCTTCAGCTATATTCACTCTTTGTTGAGTCTCCCACAATTACCGTTGTTCCTGGCCTGGACTTCAAACTGGCCTTCCACATTATTCTGGATACCACACCTGACCCCCATGACTGTATCTCTCTGATCCACCTGACATTCACTCTATTTCCCCATATTTCCTTCTTTCCTGTTCCTCACCCTGATCACACTTGGTTTATTGATGGCAGTTCCACCAGGCCTAATCTCCACTCACCAGCAAAGGCAGGCTATGCTATAGTAGTATCTTCCACATCTATCCTTGTGGCTACTGCTCTGCCGCCCTCCACTACCTCTCAGGAAGCCAAACTCATTGCCTTAACTTGAGCCCTCACTCTTGCAAAGGGACTACACGTCAATATTTATACTGACTCTAAATATGCCTTCCATATCCTGCACCACCATGCTGTTATATGGGCTGAAAGAAGTTTCCTCACTATGTAAGGGTCCTCCATCATTAATGCCTCTTTAATAAAAACTATTCTCAAGGCCGCTTTACTTCCAAAGGAAGCTGGAGTCATTCACTGCAAGGGCCATCAAAAGGCATCAGATCCTATGGCTCCGGGCAACACTTATGCTGATAAGGTAGCTAAAGAAGTAGTAAGCCGGGCGCGGTGGCTCAAGCCTGTAATCCCAGCACTTTGGGAGGCCGAGACGGGCGGATCACGAGGTCAGGAGATCAAGACCATCCTGGCTAACACGGTGAAACCCCATCTCTACTAAAAAATACAAAAAACTAGCCGGGCAAGGTGGCGGGCGCCTGTAGTCCCAGCTACTCGGGAGGCTGAGGGAGGAGAATGGTGTGAACCCAGGAGGCGGAGCTTGCAGTGAGCTGAGATCCAGCCACTGCACTCCAGCCTGGGCGACAGAGCAAGACTCAGTCTCAAAAAAAAAAAAAAAGTAGCTAGCATTCTAACTTCTGTCCCTCACGGCCAGTTTTTCTCCTTCTCATCGATCACTCCCACATACTCTCCCAGTGAAACTTCCACCCGTCAGTCTCTTCCCACACAAGGCAAATGGTTCTTGGACCAAGGAAAATATCTCCTTCCAGCCTCACAGGCCCATTCTATTTTTTTTTTTTTTTTTTTTTTTTTTTTTGAGACAGAGTCTCGCTCTGTCACCCAGGCTGGAGTGCAGTGGCCGGATCTCAGCTCACTGCAAGCTCCGCCTCCTGGGTTCACGCCATTCTCCTGCCTCAGCCTCCCGAGTAACTGGGACTACAGGCGCCCGCCACCTCGCCCGGCTAGTTTTTTGTATTTTTTTTGGTAGAGACGGGGTTTCACCGTGTTAGTCAGGCTGGTCTCGATCTCCTGACCTCGTGATCCGCCCGTCTCGGCCTCCCTAAGTGCTGGGATTACAGGCGTGAGCCACCGCGCCCGGCTGGCCCATTCTAATCTGTTGTCATTTCATAACTTCCATGTAGGTTACAAACCGCTAGCCTGTACCTTAGAACCTCTCATTTCCTTTCCATCATGGAAATCTATCCTCAAGGAAATCACTTCTCAGTGTTCCACCTGCTATTCTGCTACTCCTCAGGGATTGTTCAGGCCCCCTCCCTTCCCTACACATCAAACTCGGGGATTTGCCCCTGCCCAGGACTGGCAAATTGACTTTATTCACATGCCCTGAGTCAGGAAACTAAAATATCTCTTGGTCTGGGTAGACATTTGTACTGGATGGGTAGAGGCCTTTCCCACAGGGTCCAAGAAGGCCACCGCGGTCATTTCTTCCCTTCTGTCAGACGTAATTCCTCGAGTTGGCCTTCCCACCTCTGTACAGTTCTATAATGGACCAGCCTTTATTAGTCAAGTCACTCAGGCAGTCTCCCAGGCCTTGGGCATTCAGTGGAATCTTCATGCTCTTTATTGCCCTCAATCCTCAGGAAAGGCAGAAAGAACTAATGGTCTTTTAAAGACACACCTCACCAAGCTCAGCCTCCAACTTAAAAAGGACTGAACAGTACTTTTACCACTTGCCCTTCTCAGAATTTGGGCCTGTCCTCAGGATTCTACAGGGTACAGCCCATTTGAGCTCCTGTATGGACGCTCCTTTTTATTAGGCCCCAGTCTCATTTCAGATACCAGCCCTCTAGGTGATTATCTTCCAGTCCTCCAGCAGGCTAGACAGGAAATTCACCAGGCTGCTAATCTTCTCTTGCCTACTCCAGATTCCCAGCCATATGAAGACACCCTAGCTGGATGATCAGTTCTTGCTAAGAATCTGACCCCTCAAACTACAATCTCAATGGACCAGACCCTACTTAGTCATCTATAGTACCCTAACTGCCATCTGCCTACAGGACCCTCTCCATTGGGTTCACTGTTCCAGAATAAAGCTGTGTCTGTTGGATAGCCAGTCTGATTTCTCCTCTTCCTCCTGGGAGTCGCATGTACTCTCTCCTACTTCCCTTAAACTCACCTGCATTCCTAAAGGATAATAGTAACCCTTATAAGTCTGATACATCCTTTCCTTTTTATTAGGTCTCGTCTTCCTTACCCTACTCTTTACAACAGGGCTTTATGCAGTCACCCCCACTACTTGGACTGCAACCCAAAAACGTGTCATCCCTACTATCTTCTGTCTAGTCATACTCCTATTCACCATTCTCAGCTACTCATAAATGCCCTGCCCTTGTTTACACTGCCAGTTTACACTTTTCCTCCAAACCATCGTACTGGATATCTCCTGGTACTATCCCCAGTCCACCACTCTTGACTCCCTCTTGGAGTGGATGGATGATCTTTGCTGACAGGGCACCCTCCAATACTTTCACCCTGATGAAGTCCTGTTCTTTGCTTTTATACTCACTCTTTTTCTCATTCTTGTTCTTACGCCACCCTCTACCTCTCCCCAGCTATCTCCACCACACTATTAATCTCACTCACTCTCTGCTAGCCATTTCTAATCCTTCTTTAACAAACAATTGCTGGCTTTGTATTTCTCTTTCCTCCGAAATCACTGAGACCTCAACTTACTGCTAAAAAAAGGGGACTGTATATTTTTAAATGATGAGTGTTGTTTTTACCTAAATCAATCTGTCCTGGTGTATGACAACATAAAAAACCTCAAGGATAGAGCCCAAAAACTCGCCAACCAAGCAAGTAATTATGCTGAACCCCCTTGGGCACTCTCTAAGTGGATGTCTTGGGTCCTCCCAATTCTTAGTCCTTTAATACCTATTTTTCTCCTTCTCTTATTCAGACCTTGTGCCTTCTGTTTAGTTTCCGAATTCATCCAAAACCTCATCCAGGCCATCATCAATCATTCTATATGACAAATGCTCCTTCAAACAACCCCACAATATCACCTCTTACCACAAAATCTTCCTCTAGCTTAATCTCTCCCACTCTAGGTTCCCACGCCACCCCTAACCCCACTCAAAGCAGTCCTGAGAAACATCGCCAATTATCTCTCCATACCACCTCTCCAAAATTTTCTCTGCCCCAAAACTTCAACACTATTTTATGGCATTTTTCTTATTAATATAAGAAGACAGGAATATCAGGCCTCTGAGCTCAAGCGAAGCCATCATATCCCCTCTGACCTGCATGTATACATCCAGATGGCCTGAAGCAAGTGAAGAATCACAAAACAAGTGAAAATGGCTGGTTCCTGCCTTACCTGATGACATTCCACCATTGTGATTTGTTCCTGCCTCACCTTAACTGAGCGATTAACCTTGTGAAATCCTGGCCAGGCACAGTGGCTCACGCCTGTAATCCCAGCACTTTGGGAGGCCGAGGCGGGCAGATCACAAGGTCAGGAGATGGAGACCATCCTGGCTAACATGGTGAAACCCCATCTCTACTAAAAATACAAAAAATTAGCTGGGCATGGCGGCATGTGCCTGTAGTCCCAGCTACTCAGGAGGCCGAGGCAGGAGGATGATATGAATACAGGAGGCAGAGCTGGCAGTGAGCTGAGATCGTGCCACTGCACTCCAGCCTGGGCAACAGAGCGAGACTCTGTCTCAAAAACAAAACAAAACAAAAAAAACCTTGTGAAATTCCTTCTCTTGGCTCAGAAGCTCCCCCATTGAGCACCTTGTGACCACCACCCCTGCCCACAAGAGAAAAACCCCCTTTGACTATAATTTTCCTCTACCCACCCAAATCCTATAAAACTGCCCACCCCTATCTTCCTTGTTGATTCCTTTTTCGGACTCAGCCTGCCTACACCCAAGTAAAAATAAACAGCTTTATTGCTCACACAAAGCCTGTTTGGTGGTCCCTTCACACGGAAGTGCATGATACTAAGGTCCTCCCTTACCTGACACCTACAGCACTCCTGTTGTAACAAGCATCATCTTGGGTTCAGCGTAAATAAATCTCTCATTTGAGTGGCAAGTAGTTGAGTTTATAACTTTTACTTTCACCAAACCCAAAAGAGTTCATTTCAACTAATTCTTTGGTCAGATACTAGCCATTCATGCTTATAAGAAAAAGGATGGGTAAAGTACTAGGATCTGCATCTAACCTTAGCAGCATGGTAAGCAGAATAATGGCCTAATCCCCAGAACCTGTGATTATGTTACAATTACGTGGCAAAAGAGCATTAAGTTTGCAGGTGAAATTAACTATGCTAACTATATGGTATTAAATAGGAAGAGGAGCCTGAATTTTCCAGGAGGATCCAAGGATCCTAAAATGGGAAAGTGGGAAGGGGAGAGTCAGGGTCCAAGTGATGCATGTGAGAAAGATCTGACCTGCCATTGCAAGCTAGGAAGATGAGAGAAGACCGCAAGCCAAGGAATGCAGGAGGCCTCTAGAGGCTGGAAGACACAAGAAAACTGATTGCTCCCCAGAGTCTCCAGAAGGAATGCAGCCCTGCTGACACCCTGATTTCAGCTCATTGTAGCCCACTTCAGACTTCTGACTTCCAGAACTGTAAGATAATAAATTTGTGTTGTTTTAAGCCCCTAAATCTATGATAATTTGTTACAGCAGCAGTAGGAAACTAATACACAGGGGATTAGGACAAAAGGCTAGAAAGAGATACAGACTAGAGAGTCAAACAAAAGTAGGCCTTCCTGTTCAGTGCCATACTACCCTTTCTTTAGTGGTGGGCCAGAAAAAGCCCTCTGTTTCATTCTATTAGTTTTCCTTGAACCATATAATATAACCCGGTTGAGGAAATCTGCAGCATTAAAAAAAAAAAATTATATCTTGATAAGCCAAATTCACTTACTATTTTTGGGTTCTTCAATGTTGCTATTTTCTCTTTCTCTTAAAATGAAGAATAATATTGTTGATGAAAAAAGCCAAATTCAGGACGGGTATGGTGCCTCATGCCTATAATCCCAGCACTTTGGGAAGCTGAGGTGGGTGGATCACATGAAGTGAGGAGTTCAAGACCATCCTGGCCAATATGGTGAAACCCTGTCTCTACTAAAAATACAAAAATTAGTCAGGCATGGTGGTACGCACCCGTAATCCCAGCTATTCGAGAGTGCCATCGTACTTCAGCCTGGGTGACAGAGCAAGACTCTGTCTCAAGAAAAACAAAACAAAACAAAAAAACTAAACTCTGTAAGATATTTGAAGTGATTTATTCTGAGCCAAATGTGAGAACCATGACCCATGACATAGCCTCAGGAGGTCCTGAGAACGTGTGCCCCAGGTGGTTGGGTTACAGCTTGATTTTATTTATGTTAGGGGATCAGAAGTTACAGGTAAACATTAGTCACTACATTTAGATATACATAGGTTTGGCCCTTCTGCACCGTCATGCCAAGCCAGCATCTGGGCCTGGAACTGGGCTGCAGCCCCTCAGCTTCACCCACCGCCTCCCAACCATGGACCCCTGCAAAGTGAATGAGTTTCGGGCCTTTGTAAAAACATTTTCAGGATCCAAGCGTTCTGCACACCGAGGAAATGAGCTTCCTGAGGGAGTGGGTGGAGAGCACGGAGATAAAGTACCACCTACTACTCAGAAAGGTAAATCAGAAGAAAATACCAAAGAAAAACTTGATAGTAAGAAGGTAGAGGAAGACTTAAAGGCAGACGAAACATCAAGTAGGGAAAGTGAGCTAGAAATTGATAATTAAGGTGTGATTGAACCAGACACTGATGGCCCTCAAGAAATGGGATAACAGAGGTGATGATGGATCAGGCAAATGATAAGAAAGTGGCTGCTATTGAAGCCCTAAATAACGATGAACTGCAGAAAGCCATTGACTTATTCACAGATGCCATCAAGCTGAATCCTCACTTGGCCGTTTTGTATGCCAAGAAAGCCAGCGTCTTCGTCAAATTACAGAAGCCAAATTCCGCCATCTGGGACTGTGACAGAGCCATTGAAATAAATCCTGATTCAGCTCAGCCTTACAAGTGATGAGGGAAAGCACATAGACTTCTAGGCCACTGGGAAGAAGCAGCCCATGATCTTGCCCTTGCCTGTAAATTGGATTATGATGAAGATGCTAGTGCAATGCTGAAAGAAGTTCAACCTAGGGTACAGAAAATTGCAGAACATTGGAGAAAGTATGAGCGAAAACTTGAAGAGCAAGAGATCAAAGAAAGAACAAAAAGAGTTAAGAAGGCTTGGCTGGGCGCGGTGGCTCAAGCCTGTAATCCCAGCACTTTGGGAGGCCGAGATGGGCGGATCACGAGGTCAGGAGATCGAGACCATCCTGGCTAACACGGTGAAACCCCGTCTCTACTAAAAAATACAAAAAAAACTAGCCGGGCGCGGTGGCGGGCACCTGTAGTCCCAGCTACTTGGGAGGCTGAGACAGGAGAATGGCATAAACCCGGGAGGCGGAGCTTGCAGTGAGCTGAGATCTGGCCACTGCACTCCAGACTGGGTGACAGAGCAAGACTCCGTCTCAAAAAAAAAAAAAAAGAAGGCTCGAGAAGAGCACAAGAGAGCCCAGAGGGAAGAAGCAGCCAGTCAGGAGCTCAGTATGGCTCTTTTCCAGGTGGCCTTCCTGGGGGAATGCCTGGTAATTTTCCCCGAGGAATGCCTGGAATGGGAGAGGGAATGCCTGGAATGGCCGGAATGCCTGGACTCAATGAAATGCTTAGTGATCCAGAGGTTCTTGCAGCCATGCAGGATCCAGAAGTTATGGTGGCCTTCCAGGATGTGGCTCAGAACCCAGCAAATATGTCAAAATACCAGAGCAACCCAAAGGTTATGAATCTTAGTAAATTGTCAGCCAAATTTGCAGATCAAGGGTAATGCCCTTCTGATAAAGCCCTTTCTGAAGGAAATGCAATCTACATCACCTTATGGATGTTGCAGTGATACAAACCAGTGTACCTGACCTTCTCATCAAGAGAGCTGGGGTGCTTTGAAGATAATCCCTACGCCTCTCCCCCAAATGTAGCTAAAGCATTTTACAGTGGTTTGC